GGGACCGGGCAAAGGAAATTCCTGGTAGTCGCAGTCGACTACTTCAGCAAATGGGTCGAAGCAGAACCGCTAACAAAAATTACTGAAGAGAGAATGATCCAGTTCCTATTCAACAACATCTGCTGTCGATTCGGGATCCCGAAGATATTAATTTCAGATAATGGAACTCAGTTTCAGGGCAAGCGAATCCAAGCATGGTGCCTTGAAATGGGAATCAAGCAGAGGTTTTCTTCAGTCGCTCACCCCAAGCCAATGGGCAAGTCGAAGTTACAAATAGAACCATCCTGCAGGGGCTAAAGAAGCGATTAGAGAAGGCATCGGGAGCCTGGATCGATGAGCTAGCCACCGTTTTATGGTCATACCGGACTACGCCAAGAAGCTCGACAGGCCAATCACCATTCAGTATGGTGTATGGAATGGATGCCCTCCTGCCAGTAGAAATCTCACTAAGTTCGCACAGGTCGACATTTTTTGAACAGGAAAAGAACGAGGAACTGGCCAAAGAAGCCCTCGATTTGATTGAAGAAGGACGAGAAGAGTCATGGCTGGGAACAGTTGAATACAAACAAAAGATGCGCGCAGCATTCGACAAGAAAGTCCGAACCAGACGATTCCAAGTAGGGGATCTCGTCCTCAAGCGTGCAGACGCCCTCAAACATGTCGGGAAGCTAGAGGCCAACTAGGAAGGGCCTTACACAGTCACAAAAGTTCTCGAGAGAGGAGCATACGAGTTAGAGGATGGGGAAGGTCGCCAATTGCCTCGATCTTGGCATGTGATCCATCTTAAACGCTTTTACGGCTAAAGGCTGAGTCTCAAGCCTTTTTTTCTACTGAGAAACGTTCGGATCAAATTCAGTAATGAAATGAATGTTATGTTTGATGATTTACATTTTACCACGATTATCCGCATACTTAAACTTTCTTAAAGAAATACAACAGGTTGGGAAGACGACTACAAAGTCGATTTAAAACAACTTCAAAGTTGTATGCCTCGAGCGAAATCTCGGCAAGGCTACGAAGCCTACGACTACAAAGTCAATTTAAAACAACTTCAAAGTTGTATGCCTCGAGCGAAATCTCGGCAGAACTACGAAGCCTACGACTACAAAGTCGATTTAAAACAACTTCAAAGTTGTATGCCCCGAGCGAAATCTCGACAAGGCTACGAAGCCTACGACTACAAAGTCGATTTAAGACAACTTCAAAGTTGTATGCCTCGAGCGAAATCTCGGCAGAACTACGAAGCCTACGACTACAAAGTCGACTCAAGTAATTACAAATTGTCATTTCAACTAAAAAGTGTCAACACATAAGATGTCGATAAATTTACGACTGCGAAGTTATGAGTGAAGCCTCGATGAACTCATGATTAAAACCAATTTAAATTATAAAGTCGCGAGTACAGGACAACTCAAGCAAGAGAAGACGAAAGATAATATTCAAGATTGGTTCATTACAAAAATCATCTCGACCTTTACAATTTAAGAATTAGGTCGAGACAAAAACAAATGAGTAAAAACAAACGACAGAAAAGAAAAATTACAAAAGGCGACAGGCCTGGGGACACGATTTTAAGAGTCGGTATCTCCGTCGCTCTCATCAATAGTGTTCATTATTCGACCCTCAAAATTCGACCCGCTCGGCTGGATCGGAGAAGTGGAGGGAGCCTCGAGCTGGGAAGAAAGCTTGGTAGCTTGAATA